TTCATATTTTTCCCAAAGAATTCTTCTTTGTTTTTACAGAACTCTAGCATCCTCCATCCCTCCAAGTTGCCTCAATAGGGTCTGCAGATCTCAGGATCTGATGGGAGAAAGTTGAGATTGAAAATCAGGAAAGGTACAGAGATGGATTTTTGAAATAAGCAAAGGGCACTACTGTACTTGTCATTCTTCTTGAATATAATTAATTCAAAATTACAATTTTGCTTTACTTGAAAGAAAACAGTCTGTTATATTGCTGTCTTCATAAGGAATAATAATAATCTTCTCCACTTATTATTCCTTGGATACCACTGTCTTTTACGCTCTCTATGCACAGACATGTCATCTTTCTTTCTGTCATTTTCACTCATATTCAGTTATACATATATGTTACCATCTGAGTGTGGCTCTACCTTGAAGAAGTAATAGCATCATAAAAACACAGTGTAGTTTCAGCTTCTTCCACTAAAAAGGAAGGATACAGGAAGCCATGAAGACAGAAGAATAGACACTTGAAAAGGTGAGTCTTCTTCTTCCTTTTAGTTCCTTCCTGCTTTATAGGTATGCCCCATTAATTACTAATGTTCTGAAAATGCATGAGTGAGAAGATGTAGGAAAACCCAAGTCCAGACTAGTAAATGAGGATGTGTGTGAGTAAAACATGACAGATGCTAAGTAGTTAGGGGAGGGAGAATCACTCTCTTTTGAGGATGTGAATACTGGTAGGGTTCCCATGCCTCAGTCCCATACCCATGCACATACGTGCAGCACTAACTGAATCTAGTGAGTTATAAAAAAGACAAATAGTTGTGAAGGAGAGGGAGCTATGGACGGAGCTGAAGTGAGGGAACAGGTACACATGATCAAATTTGCTTGTGAACGTGTATGAAGTTCTCAAGAATAAATACAATTAATGACAATAAAAAAGAAAACTCTAGCCTATTGAATTGGATGTATCTGTGATGCAAGTGCAAATGTCCACCTGCTATTTAAGAGTTTTTAAAAACAATCAATTCATAAATCATCCAGAGGACATGTTCTTGAGTAATGTATCTGAATGCCCAATTCCTTATGTAACTAACTCCCAGAGTGGAGATAGACATATTAGAGAGTCAACTATTCCTGACTCTGGCTTTGAGATTAGATTTATTGTTCACTTTTTTCTCCTCTGCAACTCTAGAGATATTAGAAAAGAAACAACAAAGGGACATTTGTATAATAATGACTGAAAAGGGTGAAATTAGAAAATATGAGAATTCAGTGATATTTTAAGAAACAAAGAAAGTAGCAATGACATAATGTCTGCACGTATTATGCCGGAAAAGGATGGCAGTGGAGAGTGCTTCTCTTCCCAGAAGAAATGGTAAGCCAGAGGCTTAGGAAGAGGGTAAGAGGGAAAGTGGGAAAAGGGTTTAGACAGAACGTAGAGGCACTGAGGGAAATGTCTTCCTCCATGACAACCAAAGCAGTGGTTCTACATATATCCTTATGTTCTCCCTGTCTTAAAACTCAGACCGTGATAACCCACCATTTCATCACAACCAAAATTGGAAAAGTATTCTCTAGAAAGAGAAAGTTACGGTGTTTAAATTGATTGTTTCATCTAAAGGGGAGGTTCTCATTTTTATTTGGTATAACTAGCATAAAGGAAAGCTCTCTGTAAGTTCAGGTAGTGAGCTTTAATATTCTTGGGAGAGAGTAGTGTGAGCTCAGATATGCAAATACAATAGCATGAGGATTAACAGGATCCAGACAAACAGTATGAAGCGTAAGAATTGGCATGCTGCCCTCGGTACTGCTGCTGCATGAAATGCACAAAATTCAACTAAAAACACATTGAAAAGAAACCTATGTGTCTGTAAGAAAATTAAAAAAGTGTCCTATATGATAAAAGCAAATATTTTTCATCTTTAAAAAATGACTAGATATGAGATAACATAATTTCAAGCATAAAATAAGTATTATTAATTATAGGGATTAAAATCAGGTTCACAGGCTAGAAAGTGAGGTAGAAAACGAGAAAAAAGATTATTCAAAGAGATTTAATGTCAAATTAGTAAGATTTTTTCAGAAAAAAATCTAGGGTCAAATAAAAATTATGTTTTGGGTACTTTGTTGGTTGTGTGTATTCATGTATGTGTAGGAGCACATGTACATGTGAATGCATGTGGAGGGCAGAGGACAAGCTCAGGTGTTGTTCCTCAGGAGCAATCCATCTTGTTTTTTGGGACCGTTTTTCACTGGGACCTGGGTCTTGCAGAGTAGGCTAGGCAGGCTGGCCAGTGAGCTCTAGGGATCCCTATGTCTATGTCTTCCCAGTTCTGGGATTACAAGGTTCACCACTACACTAAACTTTTTTTTTGTTACCTTTGTTTGTTCTGATACTGAACTCAGGTCCTCATGTTTACAAAGGAAGCACTTTACTAACTGAGCCATCTCTCCAGTACCAAGTTTAAAAAACTATAAGAAAATTTCTCAGAAATGAAGAGGAACATAATCTTCAGATTAAAGAATTTCCCCTGAATTTATTCATTATAGAATTAATGAAAACACATGAAGCATCTTTATAAAATTTAGGGAAGGCAGGAATAAATATTCTTTAAAAATTACCAGGAAGAGCTGTGTGTGGTGGAGCACACCTTTAATCCCAGCACTCAGGAGGCCGAGTCAGATGAAGCTCTGTGAGATCAAGCCAGACTGGTCTTCATAGTGAGTTCCAGGCCAGTTGTGGCTATAGGTAGACCATGTCTCAAAAAAAAGAGACAAAAAGTTACCAGAAAGATAACTCCAAAGGAACAGGAGTCATGCTGGCAGCAAACTTTTCATAACTGATCTAAGACAAGAAACAAGTATATATAAAATGAACATATTCTTGACAGGAAAAGACTAAGCAGGTTTGCTACCCATTGTATATTATTTGTTAATTTCTTGAATACATAGAGAAAAGCTGATGAAAATCAGGAATCAGAGAACTGAAATAATTATCAAAAAATTGAAGAGACAAGAATGAGGTACTGTGAAGAGGATCAAATTTCATCTTCTGCAGTTAGAAGACCACAAGATATCTTGAATTGATAACACACAAACATGCATGTGTAAGCAGGTAGCATATTGTTTATAGGTATATAAATATGAGCACAAAAGAACTGAAACTTAACATGAAGCTAGGCAAGCTTAGGGAAGGGGGCTTTATTACATAGTGTTCATATTGTCTTATAATCTATTATTAA